CCTCCTCCTCCTCCTCCTCCTCCTCTTCCTCCTCCTCCTCCTCCTCCTCTCTCTCTCTCTCTCTCTTTCTCTCTCTCTCTCTCCGATAGTCAAGCAATGGGAGCAGGCCCTTTGAAGGAACCATGAGGAGCAACAGTTTCCTCACTATCTTCTCAGGGACACAACAGGAGGTACTTCTCTAGCAGAGGAAGAACACAAATGCTTTGGTTTCCTCCCAGAGCAGCCATAGATTACCTCTTCCTCCCTCAGGGGAAATGGACTCACCAATTCAAGAGTGGAAAGTCTTCTGTGAATTGGTTTAATCCTCAACTATTTGAAGCGAAAGGCCTTCAGTTCATTTTGTGGTGCTGATTCCACATGTGTGCCACAGGAAGAAGGAAGAACTGCCTTTGTCTCTCTTCATCTGCCTTTGTTAGGCGACTCCATTGGACTTTAGCCTGCGGGAGAAGAACAGAAGAGCATTTTCTCCAGCCGTTCCTAATTTTATAACCCCAGACATCTTGACTCTCCCTCCCTCCACCTGCCTTGCCCTTTTCTGCACCTTCTCCAACATTTCTATATTCTTTTTGCACCAAGGAAATCAAATCGGAATAGTCTTATTTCAGGAGGCATATTTTCATATGGAAAATTGATAATTATTGATAATGTGATAATATTGATCATTCAATGTTTCTATTCCTTTCATCATCTGGATCTCTGGAATGGATTTTGTCTTTTTCACAGAAGCCACTGCAGGCAAGCTCAACATTTGCATGAGGCCCAAATCTCTCTGGTCAGTCAACACCAGCTCAGGCTCCATCGGCAGATATCTGAAATCTTTCGTTCCAAACCAGCTGCAAGACTTTTGCCCGCTGGACTTTTGCTCAGGTAGAGTCAGTCAGGTTTGGTTTCATTCATTTCTCATTGGCCCAGCCTGAAGTGTGTCCGACCTCATTTCTGCATCATTTGGGTTTTTTTCCCCTCAGCCAGCACAAACTTTGAAGTGCACCTTTGTTTACTTTTCTCCAAATACAATGATTTCCTAAGAAAATCCTGCAAAATCCATGGGGTACGAATATTTTAAAAAAACAAACAGGTGAGTCCTTTTAGCTCAGCTTTAAGGGCATGGAAACTAGGTAAGTTTATATGAAAATGCAAACAGACTTAATTTCTTCACCTTTCCTAGCCACTGTTCAACCACAGAAATGTGAACAATCATGATGACTCATGGTGGTCAAATATTTAAATTAAAGCTGTCCTTTAAAAGAAAGGTGAAATGAACCATCATCCCCTTCCAGCTTTGGAAAAAATGCGCTGCAGTTTATCCAAAGTTATGATGAAGATGATGATGGCTCATCTGAGGTGGAGGGAGGTCTCAGTGAGCCACTTGCCCCGCTTCTGGGCTCCATGGCTGGCACCCCCGGCCCCAGCCCTCCCCCAGCCAGGCCTGGTGTCCTCCCAAGCATCCACACACAGACTGCAAGTTCCCCGAGGGCGGGACTGATTTTTTTTCACTTAGGAGAGCCCCAGATACTGGTGAAGCTGTGTCTCCAAATCAGAGAGGCCATTTTGCTCCTGGGTTCCTCCCCACTTCGCATCAAGGCTCCTCCATCCCCAGGTTTAGCCCCAGATGTGCTCCTTTTGCATCCTGGGTTCGATTCCAGCACTGCTTCTTTCCACTGGTCGTTGTTTTTCTTTCAGACTGGCCTCTGTTGGAGCCCAGCTCAACATGGTTGCTTTTTTTCTTTTCTATAATTGTTTAATTGCATCTTTCCTCTGAAATGGACCTTTTAAATTATTAGGTAGCGTTTGAACACCTAGTGCGGTGCAGTAGTTAGAGTACTGGAGGTGGACTAAGATTCCACCCCCGAAGACATGATGCCTCTGGCTCCTGGGGCAACCACCATCCTTCGCTAGTTCTCACCACAGTACGGTTGTGGCAGTAAAAGAGGTGGGTAGAGAAACACACCTTGGAGAAAGGCTGGATAGAAATGCAACTTGCAGGCAAAGGATGCTATGAACTGGGCTCCCCAATCAACCGGCCCTCGTCCTCCGGCTGTAGTCACTCAGTCAGTGATGCCTCTGGAGGTTCTCCACCAATGAATGGATCCCTGCTTTGTTCTCTTCTAGGCTTCCTTGCCCCACTTCCCCCACTCTCTCGGCCAATGTTGATCTTGGATCGCCTTGTAAAACTGACCCCGGGAGCCCTTGCAACACTCAGCAGCCAGCCAGCCATCTGAAACCTTGGCCTTGATCCACTGGGAGTCTGCAGGGAGGGGAGAGGTCCAACTACTCCAGAGGGAACCAGGTCAGCCAGACACGGGGCTGAGATGGTCCTTCAGCCTGACCGCAGCAGAAGATACTCCTTGGGGTGCAGAATAAGGGGCCAGCTCTGTGCAGCTGGGCTAGGCCATGAAGTTAGCGTGTGGAAAGGCTACAGATTGTTTTAAAGTTTAGATAAATAGCAGATGTTATTCAAAATGGCAGGTGTCATTCAACGTGAGCAAGTGTAAGGGGATCCACACGGGTGCCAAAAATCCTAACTATTCATGCTAACTAATGGGATCAGAGCTGATGAGGAAAGAGATCTTGGAGTAATGGGAAATGGTTCAATGAAGGGATCGACCGAGCGAGCATCTGCTGTAAAAAAGGCCCACAGCACGTTAGGGATAATAAGAAACAGTGTTGAAACCAGAGATGCCAATACCATAATGCCCTGATATAAATCAATGGTGCAACCGCATCTGGAGCATTGCGCGCAGCTCGGGTCGCAGCACCTCAAAAAGGAGATCATGGAGCTGGAGAAGGTTCAGAGGAGGACAACGAAGCTGATCGAGGGGCTGGAGCAGCTTCTCTAGGAGCAAAGGGTGTGGCATTGGGGGCTTTTGAGTCTAGAAAGGGGGCAGATGAGAGGGGACATGACTGAGGTGTGCAAAATTATGCACGGCATGAATAAATTGGGCAGAGAAGCTGTTTTCCCCTTCCCAAAATACTAGAACCAGAG